TCTCTCGTGAATTCAAGACGACGGCTGGGTAAATCTTCAATTGCCCATCAGCAACAACCTCCGGAGGATCGATTGAGGTTAGCCCCTGTTTCCCAACTTTATTTTTAAGTAGGCTTATGTGAAACACTGGATGTAACCTAGAGTCTGGTGGTGAGTCCAATTTATATGCAACCTGACCTATCTTCTGCTGAATTTTGTAAGGTCCAAAATACCGAGCAGCCAGCTTTAAGTTCTTTCTTAAGGTGAGAGATGTCTGTCTGTAAGGCTGAAGTTTCAGGTAAAGTTCATCTCCGACCTGAAAATCCCTTTATGTACGATGCTTATCCACAATCTGCTTCATTCTATTACTAGCTTTAATTAGTTGTTCACGTAATAAAGCATTGAATTGTTCTCTGTCTTACATCATATTTTGAACTGCATCCACTCTAGAGTCCCCTAACCAACTCAAAATAGGAGCTTTATAACCATATAAAGCTTCGAATGGAGTCATTTTATAGCAGAGTGGTAATTAGTGTTATACCACCACTCTGCTTGGGCTAACCACTTTGACCAAGATGTTGGTTTAAAAAAAACATACATATGAGATATTGTTCCAAACACTGGTTGAGTCTCTCAGTTTTCCCATCTGTCTCTGGATGATAGGCAGTACTGAAAAGTGTAGTTGTCCCTAATTGCTTAAGTAGCTCTTGCCAGAATAGACTAGTAAAAGACTTGTTTTGATCAGAAATAGCTACTTTAGGAGGACCATGCAACTTGTAAACCTGATCCAAATAGACCTTAGCAACTTGGACCACTGTGTAGGGATGTGACAGTGGCATAAAATGAGCATACTTAGTAAATTTATCAATCACAACTAAAATGCAGTTGTATTTTACTAAAGGTGGTAATCCTTCAATAAAGTCCATTGTTATAACTTCTCAAGCATTGTTTGGAACTGGAATAGGTTGTAGTAACCCTAGCTTGGAAATGTGTTCAATTTTAGTTCTCTGGCAGACCTCACACTACTGTATATGTTCCTGAATCATAAACTTCATCTTTGGCCAAAAAAATAAGCTTTAATCCTCTGATAAGTAGCTTGAATACCTGAATGACCCCCTTGTGGTGAATCATGGGAAGCTACAATAATTTTCTATCTCAAATCTCCCTTGCTGCCCACATAAATTTTGTCTTTAAAGTATATAACTCCTTTAACTCTTTTCCAATCCTCAATCTTGTCTGGTTGAATAACTAAAATAGGAATTTTCTCTTGATCTACTAGATCTCTTTCATAACTCTACTCAATATCATGCATCCAAGTAGAAATTATAACAATAACCCCCATTTACAAAAACTCACCAGAATCCATTTGTTGTCTAGAAAGTGCATCTGCCACCTTATTTGTTTTGCCTTTCCTATACTGGATTGTATAATCCAACCCAAGTAACTTAGTAAGACCTTTCTTTTGGATAGTAGTAGTTAGCTTTTGCTCTAATAGGTGTTTCAGAGGTTCATGATTTGTTTTAATCACAAATGAACCACTCTCCAAATAATGCCTCCAGTGTGATATTGCCATTAGGATGACCAAGTATTCCTTTTCATAAATAGAAAGGTTTGCATGTTTTGGCTCCAAAGCCCTACTTAAATAAGCTATAGTCCTTCCTTCTTGAGATAAAACAACCCCAATTCCTCTAGAACTAGCATCAGTTTCCAGAAAAAATGTCTGCTCAAAATTAGGTAAAGCTAAAACTTGAGCTGAACACATTACCCTTTTTAATTTTTCAAAAGCTATTCTGGCTTCTGGAGACCAATGAAATCCTTCCTTTTTCAACATGTTTGTTAAGGGCTTGATCAACTCTCCATACCCTTTGATAAACTTCCTATAATAGCATGTTAACCCCAAGAATCCTCTCAAAGCCTTCAAATTCCTAGGCAAAGGCCACTGTTGCATAGCCTTAATTTTAACAGGATTAGTTGCTACCCCATGAGCTGAAATTAAGTGTCCCAAGTATTCTACTTGTTGTTGTTTATGATCTGCCAAGCTAGGACTATAAACCAAAATATCATCAAAAAACACCAGAACAAATTTTCTTAAATATGCTCCAAATAAATCATTCATCAAAGCCTTAAAAGTAGATGGAGCATTAGTAAGGCCAAATGACATTACCTTAAACTCATAATGCCCTTAATGAGTCCTAAAGGCAGTTTTGTGAACATCCTCATCCTTAATTCTAATTTGCCAATAACCATACCTCAAATCAATTTTTGAAAAGAAAACGACCATATTCAGTTCATCTAATAAATCCTCCACTATAGGAATAGGAAATTTATTCTTAATTGTGGTAGAATTAAGTTGCCTATAGTCCACACAAAATCTCCATGTTCCATCCTTCTTTTTAATAAGAAAACATGGGGAAGCAAATGGACTTTTACTTACTTGAATAATAGAAGAGGATAACATTTCAGCAATCTGTTTCTCCACTTCAGCCTTGTGATGATGAGCAAATCTGTAGGGTCTAAGGTTGACTGGTTTTGTCCCTTGCTTAAGAACAATGGCATGATCATGTTTCCTTCTAGGAGGCATTCCTTTTGGTTCCTCAAATACTTCTTGAAATTCTTGCAAAAGGTCTTGAAGTATTGGAGGAGTTGTACTTTCTACCACTTCTGCATTTAATAAATAAACTTCCCCACTCAACTCAGCATCTTTTGCATCTAACTTTTGCAACTTTTCTCCTGTAATTGGTCTGATTAGAGGTAATTTCTCCTGTAATTGGTCTAATAACAACATTTTTCTCATCCTTTTCAAAACTCATAGTCTTGGCTTTAAAATCCATTATTATGGGGCTGAACTCCTCCATCTAATCTACTCCCAAAACCATTTCACTACCTCCCAAAGATAATACTCTGAAATCATGTTGAAATTCATATCCTTGCATCTTCCAACTCACTTTATTGCTCCTAGCAGTACTGAACAATTTCTCACCATTAGCTACTGTTATGACTAATGGTTGAGTTTGCACCAATTCCACCCCTTTCTTGGCCTACTTAGGAGTCACAAAACTATGAGTGTTGCCACTGTCAATCAATACATTAATGAGTTTTCCTCTGATGTAACCCTGTATTCTCAAAGTTGTATGCCTCTTCCTTTTTTGCCTCTTCCAGTTCACCAGATTCCTCTTCTGTTACTTCTTTTTCAGCAGATTCCTCTTCTTCCTCCATACAATTTAGTTGTCTAACTTTGCACTGATGCCCAGGAGCAAATTTTTCCCCACATTTAAAACACAAATTGTTGGCTCTTCTATATTCCAGCAGACTCTGTTTTGTATTTGTATTAGGAGGAACTGTCTTAGGCAAGAAATTCTTATTGTCGCTGCTCTGTTGATTATTTGAATTAGTGTAAGAAAAAAATTTACTAGGAGATTTGTACTTCTCCCCTTCAATCTCATTAGCCAACTCATATAATTTAGCTTGCCTGTAATCTTCAGATAAGTTCTTAGGTTCCAACACTTTCACTTTATGTTTTAATTCCTCCCTGAGGCCACTAATAAAGCTGAAAACAAAATAATTCTCCCCCAAATGCATGTTTTATTGCAACAAATAAGGCCTTAATTCCTCAAACTTTTCTTGATACTCCTCCACACTCCCCTTCTGCATCAGCTTATTAAATTCTTCAATAATATCATAATAATTTCTATCATAAAATCTGTGATACAAATCAGCCTCAAATTTATGCCATGTCAGTCTATACTTATGCATAATGTACCCATCAAACCAAGTTTCAGCCTTCCCAACTAAATACATAGCAGTTATTTTTAGTTTTTTCCCCCTCATGTATTTCAAACAATTTTAAAAACTTCTGACATATCCTAATCCAACCCCTCGGATTATTACCCTCAAACAATGGTAACTCCACTTTTTGGTCTAGGTAACACAGAACTAGTGTTCCCAAAAGGATTTTTACAGTAGCTTCTAGTGTCAACATGTTCATCTCCTCTCCTCTTACTCACTAAAACTACCCTTAGGCTTTTCTTCTTGCAATTTCTGATTAAAAAATTGAGGACCAATAAACCCTTCAGGTTTAGAAGCTAATATCCCTGGTTCATTAGGTTGAAAAGTGTACTTCTCATTCTCACTAAGAACCGTAACAAAGCATGGTGCTTTACCTTCACTTTTGTTCTGTTTTTCAGCTGGTGGTGGTTGGTTCTTCACTGACTGAGGTGAATCTTTTTCCTCAGCTGCCTGATTGACCAGTTGTAAGATTCTCTGCAAATACCCTCTATTTTCAGTCATTCCTTCTTCTAAGGTTTGTATCCTCCCTTCCAGCTCTATTTTCTGCCTAGCCCACCAAGAAGGTAAGGTCTCCTCCTTAACCTTCACTACTGATTGTTCTGGTACCTCTATTACTCCAGTTTTTTTTTCATTTTTCTTGTCTTTCCCATCGTGAAAAATGATTTTGGATCACTACAACTCAGCTCTGATTACCAATTGTTATGACTTAGGGTTGTTGTAGAGAAAATGAGAGATTTCAGAAAGAAAGAAAGAAAGAAAGAGAAATACAGAAAACGTGTAATTCCATTCATGATGATTTCCTTATATTTCAGGTACAACTTATATATTCACAAGTACCTACAGCTATAATTCTGCCAGCAAATCTAACAAACTAACTACTCATTTGCTGATTCACATGATATATCCAATTGCGCTACACGTGCTAGCCTGTTCTCCTCAACTTCATTCTGTTCTGGGTCATTACTTGACTGGGCCCATTTGCTAAAGGTTTAATGATATCAGCCTGCTGCTGCAGTCCACCCAACCCCATTCCTTTTGTGGCCTCATCCCTCAATCCCTCAATCCCTCAATCCCTTTCATTTTCCAATTTCAGCATTTTTCCCCAAATTGCCTTCCTTGAGTAATCCCCAATTCCTTCTGATCAAACCCTAGTCTCCCTTCCATCATAACACATACATCTATGATTACTTAGTTTTTCCCTTCTTTTTCATGGATAATGACAATTCATGAATGAGGTTTGAGGCATGTTTTGATAATCCATAAGTATTATTTGTTCCCACAAGAAAGATTCCTACAATTATGAATGATTCCGGTATCAAAAGATCAAGGCCGTGGAACATATATACAAATTCGGATCCAAGTCATTTTCTAGCAGTTGCAGCTGATGAGGTAACTCCTTGGAAAAGCTTTGGAACATCCATGAATGCAATTTCTTTTGGCTTTGTTGCTACAGCCATATTGATATCGATGTTCCTTATAATGGCCATCTTCGAACAACTTTTTCAGCCTAATCCCGCTTTCTCTTTGTCCGACCAAGTTACAAATGGTGCTTTAGGATCCGGATCACTTCAGAAACTTGGGAATCAAGAAAGGGTAAGTTCCTTATCTCATCTGGCTATCAAGTAATACCATATGCATTTTTCTTCTTCTGGCGGACGTGGAACTGAACTGATGTTTGATGTATGTATGTTGTGATGGCAGGTATCGACATCATATGCATCAGATTTCCCGGTAGTGATGCCGGGAGAGCAATATCCGACCCACATTGCACAACCTGCTCCTCTCCCTTGCCCGAGGGAAGGCATCTATTGGCCACCCCATGAACATAGTTTTCTATTTCCACTTGTGTAAAAATACACCAAGCAAAAAGCATCATGAAGGATGTCTGTTTATTTTATCAACACCTGCTCAATTTCTATATATATACTCCAATATCCAATGAAATATTGCATCTTGAATCTGGTTTGCCAGATCAAACCACTACTGTGCAGGATGTAACAAATCAATTGTTGATAAATGCCACAGATGAACAAGTTGTAGAAGCATAATTCCTCTTATAAATTCACATTTGGGGATTATCAACAAAATTTTACTATTAAAGTATAGGTTTAAATATACATCGATACTTGAACTAAACACCTTCTCTAAAGTTCATATCTAAACAAGTTGATACTGGACTCACATAACTTGAGGTTGATAACTAAAGTAAATTTCTCCCAGATTAGTATTTGACCTTTAATTCTATTCGCTATTTTGATATTTTTAATCAACGTTGTTAACTTTGAATAATGACAAAATAAAATGGTACATGTTAATGATGTCATCATGTATTTTTTTAAAAATTCTTTAAAATTTATAAAAAAAATATTAAAACTGCCGAATTAGTGGGTAGAAATAAAGTTGATGTATTAACTTGAGAGCAAAAACAATTCTTTAGTTACTACCTTGGAAGAAGGTATGTAGTTCAAGTACCAACTTGGAAAAACAATTCTTTAGGTACTAACTTGGAAGAAGATGTCTAATTAAGTACCCAAGACACATTTAAACCTAAAGCACACTACTTTTTACTCTAAACAAAAAATAAAAAAAGGTCAAATCTCAAATAAGGGGCTAATATTCGAATATGGATAAATGAAGACCTAAACTTTTAAAATGAGACATAACATTTTTAAATTTGTTCATATAAAGGTCTAATATATTTTTTTTTTTAATTTGCTTAAAAGTTAAAAGGGAAAATTGTTGAAATGCATTAGAATTATTAGACTATTTTGAAGATTAGATTACTAATTGAGTATATTTTAAAATGTTAATGGCTTTATTTAATCATTTTAAAAGACCATGAATATAAAAAGAAATCTGGATTAGTGTATGATTTTGGTTTGGTTAGATTATAGAGTTAGTTATTGATATCCCGTTTTATCTGAATCCAAATCCCAAATATTATTGCCTATGACTTTATCTACATTGAAAATTACGTATATAATCTGTGTTTCCAAATACCGACTTTTTACTCTAAACAGTCATGTTTGGTCCCGAACTGAGAAGAAGCAACTCGGCTAAATCAGCCCAGCTCCAGGCTGTTGTGAAGAGAGCATTTTCAATGAAAACATCTTCTTCTACCTCTGAAAGGTATTGTAGGATCCATGACCCATCTCTGACTTTAGCATCACTGTTTGATGACGAACAACGGAACAAAAACTGCACAAGAAGAAGAAGAAGAAGAGCATCAAAGGCAAGATCCTAAAAGCATGGAAGAAACTTTTTCAACGTTTGTGTTTTTTTATCTACAATAAATTTCATATAGCCTTGCTTTTTGAATGTTTTCTATCTTCATTTTAAGTGGTAAGAAGTTCAATACACTTTCGGGGAGGGACGACCAATTTGTCTCTGCTTTTATATATTGTAGTCTTAAAATAGACAATATATGGTGGACAGATCCACAAGAGGCTTGTTAGTTATAATCTAGGCAAAGGCAAAATCTCTGTTTTTATATTTACAGTCCCAGGTAAGCAAAAGGAGAATTTCAACCAATCAAATATAGAACCTCCGGTTGAAAAACAAAATCACAGCAGCTAGCTGTGATGATAATCTTTTATTTTCCCTCTGTTTCTTGTTCCTTATATTCTGAGCCATCCTTGACTAAGATCCAGATTTCTTCAATCCACCAAATATTATTGACATTGGATTTCTTTGTTCCAAGTATTAATTACAACGGTATCTGCAACTGAACCACCCTTTCCCTACTTCGCACTGCGGCCGAAACATTGGTTACATGACAGAATGAGACCGTCTCCAGAAAAGGTAAATGCATGCTTGATGTTCATCGAAGCGATTTGCTGCAAAATAATGATCTATGATCAAAGTTAAATTCAAGATATTATTAACAATGTATATCATTTCATACCAATAGGACCATTATGAGGCCCATAGTCAATACAAACACTGTCAAGTGTCAACAAGTCCACGATACTTGTAGTTCCCTTGTCTACAACTTGTCATCAATCATCAGCACCATCACAATACCGATACTTTAGCTTTCTACTAAATTATTCCAAACACCATCGTCACCGTATACAGTAACATGACTGCCAATGTTAAACTTACCTATCATAGCCACGTTCACTAACCTTCAGATTTTATAATGTAGCCAAGATCCCTTTTCTAACTTTTCCAGGCACACTTTTCCATCCATATATCTTACACACCTTTTCCAAAATTTGTAAAACTTCCATCAAGATTCATAAGAAGTTTACAAAAAATTAACTACACGCTAGTACAAATAACATATTTATGTTGGAAAATACCAACAACAAAGTTAATAGATATTCCCCGTAAGTCAACTTGGTAACTATCCAACTACTATGGTGAATGTCCAAGGCATTCCCCGGAAAAAGTTTAGACCTTTGTGCTACAAAAAGAAGCACAGACTGACTACTGAGCTAATTGGTGGTTTCCCTGAATTCTGCAAGGGGCCTTAAGCTTCTAACAACCATACTTCCTCTCCAAGAAGTATTTCTCAATATTCTATATACTATTTAAATTTTATGCCAATAAAACATTAACCGAAAACTTCAGATTACAATAAATAAATAATTACGTGCAAATGGCAAGGTTCATGATCAAATGCTTACCATTTTAAAATTCACTAAGAACAAGAACTCGATTTCTGTACCCAGATTTGTTTCTACAAATTTAGAGAACAGACATAACGCTTGGTTAGTGAAAATGCAGAAGAAGAAAATCAGGAATCACGTTAGTTTAAGCACCTCATGAGAACCATAGCCAGAAATATTGCCCCTCTCCCCTGGTTTTCCATTACTCACAGCAGATGATCCATTAGTTACTGCTATACAACGACTCACATGCTTATGGAATCCTGCATGATTTAAAAAAGGGAAGTAAATGAAATGTGAAACTTGCAAAAAAAATACATGACAGATTCAAAGAGTAGTTCAGTTTTCAAAATTGGAACTAACCATTATCTAAAGAACTGTTATGACCATTTCCAAAAGTTTTACCTTGCATGCTCCGCACATTGGAGAAATCAACTTTAGTATCACCATAAGCCCCTTGCCAATTGTACAGAAAAAGAAGCGTCAATGTTATTCAATATAAAGGAAAATTCTGTTTTCTGCAATCTGAGCACATAACACAAATGTTACTAAGTGTGCATTTTCATTTGTGATAAGGTAGCAATCAAATCCAACTTAATTATGGAGAGTCTCTAGGACAATAATATCCCGAAGGAATAATAATACAAGATTTAACAGAGCCACACAGTCATACCATCTGAAGAATCCAAAGGAATCCGTGCAGATTGAGAAGCAGATGATGATAAGGAATCATCACTCGCATATGATCCATCAGAACAGCGAAGGGTCCTAAAACCTTGATCTGTTCTATCTTTGTTTCGACTACATCTTTCTGTCTTCTCAGTACCATTCAAGTCATTCCCAGCAACCTTATCATCTAAAGCAACCCTAGCATCCTTCAGACCTAACTTCACCTGTGAATGTTGAGGAGGTTGTCTCTCCTCTAAATTTGAGGTCTGAATACGTTGCTCTGACCGGACCCCAGAACACTGACTTCGACGAGAATCCTTGTTCAAAAATATGCCTCTGATCACTCTATCTTCACATTGTGAGTTCTGTTTGTTAGGAGTTGAACCAAGTATGGTTTTAATAGGAGATGTAAATTTCTGTTGACGAAACATACTTCCAGCCACCTGCAATGTAACATTCATGGAAATTTGAGACAATTTCTCTTGCTTGTATGTACTGATGATAGGGAGACAATGCAATATCACATTATGGTTCACATGCAAACTATGCCAAAAAAAAGTGTTTACTAATAATGAGATCAAATATAGAATTATGCTCCTATCTCCCACAGACACAAGTAAACCCACCTCACCCCAACTCCTAAAATTTTGTCATTTTCCCTAAGATGCCTGCATGTATGCACCCTATGCAGTTAGTGCAAGGAACAAAGAATGAAGAATGGAAACATAAACGAAGATTGAATAGCAGAGCCACTAGAACATGAGAAAAAGAGGAACAAGAGGCTCACATGAGAAATTCCTTTCTCTTTCCCTTTCCCTTTCAGAAGCAGTCCTTTCTTTTTATCAGCATCAATAGCTCTGGAAGCTCCTGGAAATTGAGAATGAGAATTGAGTTTGACCCATGAAACATGAGAATGCAAGTACAAACAAAAATATTTGATTGGTGTTGATGCCAACTAACAAATAACAAGAGATAATAAAGAATAATTGCGCATAAACAAAGGAAAATTAGAATGATTCTTATTAGGAATTACCACTTTCCTCTTCAGATACTTCAGTTACCATAGATACTGTGGAAGTAACAGGCTTATCAGAAAGTTGCTGCTCATCCCTTTTAGAAACCAGAATGTACGTTGATTTGTCTTTACCACTTACATTCTGTAAGCTATCCCTTACAACACACTGCCACCATATAAGACAGGGTATTAATGATACAAAACTTCCAACATTTCATGGGGAAAGCCATCATGGATCTAAAAATATTCAACTTTACATCTAGTCTTTATATAATATAAAAAGAAATTCCCGAGAACTTTTACATTTGTTGCACAATGTTTCCTAATATGTCAATGAAACCAACTATTTACTATTCTACTTCAAGTGTCAAGTATCTACAATTATTTCACACATTAATGCTTTATTGAACATATAAATCACTATTACACTACCATGTAAGGAGGGGGAGAGAAAGATAGAAACATGTGTCCTCAAAAAAATTAGATAGCTTTAGCTAAGTTAACAAACTATAGCATACCATTTTAGTAGAACCACCTCTCTTTTCAGAACCTCTTTTCGATGATGCTGAACTAGGACCACCACAAGATGGTCCACCAGCTCTTCTGCTAAGTTTCTCATTAGCCAGTGACCTCTGTCATAGAATATTATTAGAAACCTTAAGTTGCGTATAATATGCCATTGGCGCAAATTATTCACACAAATGTACAAAAGTAAACAAGAATCTATTTTAATGCATGATAAAATAAATCAAGGAAAATTTTAAAAGGCGATAGATCAATATGGAAAAAAGGTTGGCAGGTGAAAACCATTGGTCCTTGGTACTCTTTCATTCTTCCGCAATTCAATTCTCATTGATAACTGTAACATTAATTAATTTGACAGGTGCTACCCTATCAAATCACATTTATATTGTACCCAACAAACCAAAGAAATCCACGTTTTGCTCTAGTTCTTGATGACAATACACAAGAAACGATAGTAAACAAAACAGAAGTAACAACTTATTGTTTTGTTAACTCTACAGTTATTGTAATTGTAATCATAATATATTACTCGTGATCCAACCTTAGCAGCTCTTTTCTGTCTAACAAAATCCATCAAAGGTGTAACTATGGAAGCATCCTTTGGCGCACCTGAAAATAGGCATTAGTGGCATGACTGGAATATATAACATCAGAGTGCAGATGTGAATAAGATTTGTGCGACTAACCAACTTTTTCCACCTCCCTCCTCTCTAATTGTATCTCTGCACTAGGAAGATTCTCAACTGGCTTCGCAAGAAATTCAAGGAACTCCAAATACTCAGAATCTAGATGTTCATTAAGAAATACTTGCATTTATGAACAGGAACATAGAGTCACGTGTAAAACTACATTAAATCTATTCCACATTTGAAGTATGCTTAAAGCAAATCAGCTTATTACCTTTGAATATTGTCCCTTCACGACCATCGTTTTTGTAACAGTGCTTTGGAACTTGTTGGAAAGGTGCATACTCAACACTAGTTTTGAACTGGGCCCCTAAAAGAAGAGAAATAATACTTTTACTTTGAAACTCATGAGAGTATCAGTTTATTGAAAGCTTCTAATTTTGAAAAAGGCTAATGAAAGCAAGATTAATTTAAAAATGATAAATAATTCATAAGCTTATCAAGACTGGATCTTGGATCTGTCAAAATATTAATTTCAATTTTGGCAATGAAGATGCTCTAACATCTTCAAACAACTCGTAGACTTCCGGCTGTTAGTTTAAAGAGTAATCAGATCCATTGTAATGAGAAGGTATGCTAAACCATACAAATCTCCCTGAAGTACAATAATTACCTTTCTCATTAACAAACAAATGCCCATTAAAGAATTCAGCAAACTCCAAGACATCCTCAGGGCTCTTGAAGTCTATGTATAGTCTGGAACACAACTGATGCTTCTGACTGCAAAATAGTTCCGAAACTTAATACTGTAATAAGTAATACCTTTTGCTGTATTCTAACCTTAGAATTCTGGTTATATACAATTAAACAAAAACTGCATCGAATGTGTGTGTGTATGCAAGACAAACTGGATGAATTAGCCTCCTAACATTATCATCCACAGCATAAATTCATAATTGATCAAAAGGATCTAGAACATGACAAAATCTCCCTCCATGTTAATAAACTTACTTTATAGCAGAGGCAGACTCCTACAAAGGGCAGAGGAACTTGTATGAGGATAAGAGGAGTGCTCATGCTAGAGATGACTGAAACTGAGTTTTCAATTAAGCAAAGGAAGGCCAAATGTTAAGCAAAATGAAACAAGCCCATTCTCAACAGACCGGTATATAAACCCAAAATGACATAATCTGCAGATAAGGAACCTAATATACATGGAAATATAAAACAATATTCATTTACAGGCAACGACTATTACTGCTAAAGTAGTAGCAATACAGAACATGCAAAACAGTATTATACAAACTCACCGTTGAATAAAGTGAAAAGACAGCAAATTTGAAAGGAGTCTAGGATATGAAATACAAAAATTGTCTAGTTAAGAGCATAATTAGAAAAGAAAAGAGGAACCAACCTGATATTTCCTGGACGTAAAGAAAACCAGTTGTAACGGTCAGCAAAGGCACTACCGACTTGTTCGACAAGCATGGCCTCCGTACTGGACGGAGGCAAGTGGCGGATAACCACTTTGGTTCGATCCAAAGTCCCCTTCATGCCTCACCGGAACCCTATAAACACCACAAAAATTCCCCTGAAAAGAATTCGGCGATAGTCTTTTATAAAAACCGGCTTCGGAAACAAACGTGACATGCACTGCGGGATCACATCTTGTAGAAAGGCAGTTGATCGGTGGATTAGCGGTACGGAATCCTAAATTTTGATGAATAAAGACCCAATCGCCATGCAGGGGTGTTAGAGAGCAAGAAATATTTAGAATGATGAATACCTTATGTTTTATGCACGTTAAATTCTGTTGTTAACTCTTCTTCCGTCCAATTTGATATTTATTAATCATTATATTATTATGATTGAAAATTTCTCAAACTTACTACTTTTAAAGAGATCAACAATCATCTATATCACTAAATCACTTGATGGATTCTAGATCAAAATATATTTAAAACACATAATAGATTTTGATAATTATGTATAGTTTTGGCGCTATATACAAAATAATAGGTTATAAATATGAAAATGATCAAAATTAAAATACATAAATGTGCGATGAACTTTGCAAGTGTAGCTTTTGAGCTAAGAATACTAAAATTAATTTTAGAAAAATGATAAAACTTAAATACATAACATGTGTAAATTATTTACAATTATAATAAGGTTTGAGATTTTTTTTATGGACCTAGCAATCACCGGTTAAATCGTTAGTTTAATATAACTGTTATTACGGGAATCAAGAATTAATGAATTCAAATACATTTAATCATTCAATTATAATATGTAACTTTAGATAGACTTTACAATTTCTCACTTTCATTTTCATTTTGAAACGAATCATTCAAAAACTAATTTTTTTTAAAACGGATTAAGTTTTGCTGTATCTCTAAGAATTAGAATAAATATAAAAATATTTCTTTACAAACATTGAACTAACTTCTTTCAAATCTTGTACAAAATGGTACACAACCCAATCCATTATAATCAGCCACCAAATCTAAAATTCATCATAAAATTTCGTTTGAGCTTATCATTACAAATAGTACAGCTTAAGGTTCAAAATTGATCTGACCTCGCCACAGGATAGGCCTAAAACCCTGATCTTGACCATCACAAAAAATGAGTTCTCTAAACAACACAACCCATCGGTGACATTGCAGCCTGCGAATCAAGAGCAATCAAGTTGATGTTAACAGCTAAAAAGAATAAACAAAAAATAAGACGAAATGCAAAATCAGATAACAACAAATCATTGCATAACGTATCTATTAAAGAAAACCAACATGTATCAAAAGATTGTCGAGAACCAAACAACACCAAGACGAGGTCGACATTCCATGGCAATGATCGCCACTCACCACTGTGTTGCATGCATACGTAAATGAAGGGGAACAAATTTTCCCAAGATGCACAAGAATATAGACTTCAGAATTGAGAGTCAAACTTTAAAATTCACAGGGAGTGCCCAAAACGGTGAAGCCCAAACGCCTAGATTGGTGAAAATGGTTACAACAATTTCAATTTACATTCAACCATTTTGTGTGGTGTCCAACTACTAGAATAAAATTACGGATAATGAAAACATACTTCCTCCTTACAAACAAAACGAGGGATGTGATTGAATGTTGGTAATTGAGGACAAGATTTACGTACACACCTCAAACGGGATGAGCTCAGTTCTCACTGTGCAGCTAGTCACGCAGGCCAAGCTCAAGCTCAAGCTCATCATCTTCTTCAAACAGCTTCAGAAGACGAGCATATTGTTCATCTCGTTTCTTCTTTTGCCACAACTTGAAGAGGAAAAAGGAAAACAACCCGACAGCAACAAGCGCAAGCAATATGAGGACTACCTTGGCCCTGGTATTACTAACCACATCAGATTTCGTCTTTGAGTTGTTTTTTAAATCTTTAGAGTCATCACAGAAACCTGAAAAATGGAAACAAATTGAAGCCAATTGACCAAACTTGCAATAATTTGTAAGAAGCAATAAGAACAATCTCAAATTTAAAGTCTAATAAGGCAACATAATCAGTTGTACCCCAATCAAATTGAGCGGAAAAAAGGGGTTCAGCTAAAGCTACAAAGCAAGTGAGCCAATAAGATCAGCCATGCATGATAACATTGTTTCATGTGAATTCCATTTAATCAAAATTCAAACATCATAATTTCCAAAAATTCCATGGAAATCGGTACACCTAAATTGAATTTGAAGCGCAGCTAAGTTTGATCATACCACAAACATACTAGTTGCTAACATAAACCTCTATCTAGCAGGTCTATTACAAGTTTGAGGTTCAAAAAAGCAAATTGGAATCACAGATTCCACATCCCTCAGAAAAGAACAGGGAAAATGATTTATTTTCATGTTCATTCGATGCTAATTTTACCAGCAACCAAATAGATAATACTAAATAATGGTAAATACGGATAAATTTGAGAGTTTTCATGAAGTAATCAAACAAAAGTAAAGGTGAGATTTGCATGACGTCAATACATAAAAAAGTCTGGTCTCGACGAACAAATAATCTGCGTAGATTAGAAACAAAGTAAACTTGAATTTGATGCAACCAATGATTCGAATCCTAGCAGAAAAATTTTATAATACAATTCAAGGAACATAAATTTTCTTTCGAAAAATAACCAAAAAGTATGCAGTATAAACGATCTAGGAAATAAACCTGAAATAAAGAGTAGTGGAACGGAAGCGAAGAAAAGTAGGAGACGGAGAGATCTACTTGCTGAAATCTCAGTCATCTCTCTCTTTCTTTCCTGGCAGAGAAAGAGGAATTGGTCTATTTTGGCTTTAAAAACGAGATCTGCTTTCCTTTTATTTTTTATTTTTCAAAAATGTCCCGCAAGACTAATGTTTTTGTAACGTTGGCCCTGCTATTTGTGTAATTTCAGATCCAACTCCAAACTAGGAATTTTGTTTTTTCTTCTATTATATACCAGGATTTGGTATTATTTATTTAGCTGAATATTGGTGAGCATTTTTTAAATTACAGTTTAAATATTAATTTTCTAAAAGTAGTTACTTTTGTTAAAATAAGAATATTGTTATAAAATTAAAAAAAAAGTTAACAATAAATATATATATAAAAACAGCAAGAGATAGAGATAAATCACATTGTTTGTTTTTCCCATTCACATATTGCCATAATCAATACACCTGACAAACAGTCGGACGAATAAATCCGAACCCAACATACAAAGATATAAACCGACACTAATAGGTATGACAGTCGCATATCATAGATTATTGTAATTTCGCATATGCTTCTTTTAATCCTCAGGACAAACCAGAGTGATACACGTAGAAGTGCATAATGTATATGGGACGATTACTTTTGTTCTCAACACTCAAAACGGTGAGTATCAACTGAAACTTGGAAGAATAAATAGGGCAGAACATCTGAAACTAACTAAAATTTGAGATACGTGTTTGGGAGAATCAGAAATTTATACAGTAACTATCAGAATAGCGTCTATCCGACTCTTTTAACAGTGAACAAACCAAAACTCTTATCAAAAAACTGAAAGGCAGAAATGAAAAACAAAATAGTGTTTAAACATAAATAAAGCCAAAGATAACAGAGACTAATTGATCACTTAAAGCACTTGGCATCCAAAAGAGGCTCTCCCTCAAAAGGCTCGGCATCTTCGATCATCTGATTAACTCTTTCCTTCTGGGCCTCATCTGAGATGTCAACCTTCTTCCACTCGTAGAGTTCCATGTCATAGCACTCGTCCATGACAAACTGAGGGATCTCTTGCCCACGGAAAAGCCACAGTCCCTTGACCTTGAATGGAGGGTCCTTTCCAATCACCAACATCTTCCCAAATGCATACTTGCGTGCCAAATCCATTCTCTGTAGGAATCCTCCAACCTTGTTCATAGTCACAAATGAGACCGTATTCTCCTCATTGTACTTGTAGTCACAGAACCAAAGAGAGTATCCCTCAGGATCATACATGTCCCAGAATCCTGTAATAAACAAGATATACAAGTATCAGAAGTCTTGGTCAAAAATGTTTTCAAGAAGACGAGAGAAAGTAACATGAAAACAACACAGATACCTTTGATAGCAATTTCACGGAAATTGGTCTTTGTGTTAGAGTACAATCTCTTCCAATCATCCAGTACCATTTTACTAGGAGGCAGCAAATCAAGAGGATTTTTTGGTTTGGGCTTTGGTGCCTCTTCCTCCTCAGCAGCCTCTGCCTTTGGTTTCTCAGCCTCCTTCTTGGCTTCTTTTTTTAGTTCATCCTTGGTCTTTGGCTTAGTTTCTTTTGGCTGGGCAGCTGGCTTCTTTGATGGAGCAGGTGGAACAGACGTTGCCTGCTTCACATCACCAAGAATCTTCTTGAAATTTGGTTGGTTAACCATGGTCCAGAAGTACCTCTCAACATGAGGGAACTCTGAGGTAAAACTTTTGATCATGATCAGGGTGAAACCATGGTAGAGGTTGCATGTCATGATAATGTCAGCAAGGGTGATTGAATGTCCAACCAGGTAGGTATTAGCAGCAAGGTGAGTGTTTAAAGCAGTAAGGGCTCTCTTCAATGCAGCAATAGCAGCTTCCTCTGCCTGTATGCAAAACACTCGTGAGTAATCAGATTGCAATTTACAAACATAGCAATTTATATTCTAATTTAGGGGCTGTTTGTTTACTTCAGAATGATTAAGCGCTGAATGATTCAAATATTGAATGATTCAGAGGCTCTGTATGTGACATGCTGTTTAATAATGGCTCTGAATCATTCAGAATGTATTTTGATGCTGAATCATTCAGAGGTACGAAATAAAAGCGCTGAATGCTGAACGGTTCAGCATTCAGCGCTGAATGGTTCCATTCAGAGCCAAACAAACAGCCCCTTAGATTAATAAATCAGAATGGAGTAAATTACCATTGCTCTTCAAAACAATTAACAAAGGAAAAAGCCAGCCTGGTTGGTTTCTCAACTAGATGGGCATGCTTTGTACTAAAATTGGGTTAATTTTTACTTGAGTTCATTTGCTTAAACAAATTAAGACCCAAAAACCCAGAGAAGTCGTCCTACAACTTCTAAAATGCTCTTGAAAATGTATAAAATAACTATAAACCAGTCTTTGCTATTTCTCCATCATTATTTCCTCATTAAAACTCAGGATTATTCCTTATCAGACCTTAACTTGCAACCAGGGAAATGAGAGACAGTTTGATACAGTGAATAGAACTTACAGGAGGAAGGTAAGAGCCATAGCCCTTTCTTGGATAGAACCATTTTGCAATATCAGCATCAATTTCCATGGATGCAAAATCAATCCACTGCTCAATATGGCCCTGTGAAAAACAAGCAAATGAATAAAATGCAGTTGGTACAATGATTTCACATAAAACTAATTGATGCCAGAAAAGAAAAAAAATAACTCACATAATCAATCAAAGTGGAACCAAACAGAGGGTTATCAGCCTTTGAGCGAGTAACTGCAAAGAAAAAATTACCGATAAGTAAACAAACATCAAAAGAAGAAAACGAACTATATGTAGTCAACATGTCTTCTAACCATAACGAGCAATGGCATTGCTCTCAAAAACAGGACCTTCGGGTGTTTCCAACACAGGAACCTAGACAAGGAAACGATTTTTTTTTTCAGAAATAGAAGAGAGATACAAATACTACAACAACTATGTTCTCTAAATTTAACCTTTAAATAAACACGGTTACCTTCCCAATTGGGTTCATCTTGAGGAACTCGGCAGTTTTGTTTGAGACACCCTGTTCAAAGTTCTCAACCAATTTGACAGCAACACCACTATATTCCGCAGCAATGAGAGCCTTGAAGGCATTTTATTTGTTTTCCTGCATGCAATACCTGCATGTAAAACCAACAAACAGATGATTTAAAAGGTTCATTCCAACATCAAACACCACAATCAACCACTATTAAAAAAACTAACGCTTTCCCTAAAAATCTATATACAGATTTTTCATTTTCACTTACTCAACTACTTGAACAAATTTGCAGCAACTCTATCTATGATACACGCTTAATCTATAGCCATCGAATTTTCAATTGGTACTGGTTAATTGATCAAAAATTGAAATCGAAAACAACAAAGTTAAGATCCATTGATGGTTGTTATGCCTATTTACAAACCGATCAACTAATTGAATAAACAGAGTGATAATATAAATCCAAGAAGCCATTTAAGGTTTCTCCCTTTGAATTCCACTTGAAATCACTTCTCCATAAACTTACCAGTGCCATGGCCAATGGCTTGATTGGAAAGATGGACGCTCAGATTGCCGATCTGGAAACGAAAACAAGGCACAAAATGAAACTATATCAGTACAAGCATTCAAAGAAGTTGGTGTTTTCTATTTGTTAAAGGTGAAGGAAAGAGTAACTGATACGCGAGATAACCTATAAGCCGCAGTGAGAAAGAAAAGAAAAATTAGCTGATATATAACGAGATAAGAGGAGGCAGAAATATGAATTATCCACATTAAGATTCGATCCTATTGCACTCTAACCAACTGAGAGTTTAAGTGAAATGGATAAATACAAGGGAAGCTAGGGTTTTTTAGAGTGGCGTCCATATATTAGTAGTAATCCTCTTCGGCCCATTACTTCCTTTCCGCTCCTTAATTGGACTTTCGACTGTAAAATATAAGTGGGTAATACGGTTGACAACCTGTGCTTTTTTTGCATGTTTAAATATTTAAGAGTTTGAAATTGTTTTTTTAGTAATATTTTTGAAGTCTGTTATTAGTAAAAATTAAAAAAAATAAGAACTCAACTAAATATTACAAATAAATGATAGAAACAAACATTATTATGGTGATAAAATATAAATAACATTAACATTCATATAAATTCATATAACATTAATAGTTCGGGGATAAATTGATATTTTCACAATTCAATTGCAATAATTTTTTTATTATGTACGCCTATTAATATCCATCCCGAATGTAAAAAATAGAGATAGGTCAATAAAATATTCAAATAAATGTCATCTATATCTAGAGAGATAAATCAAATCCAATCATGAGAAAAAATTATTACTAAAATAGATAATATATATATATATATTAAAAGATAAAACTATACATTTCTTTTTATACAAAAAGGAAAAGATTAATTAAAAAAATAACATAACTAATTTAAGGAAATGAGATGAAAGAAGAAAAATCAATAATCGATAATCAATTAAAGCTTGCTTGATATCATCTTTGACCATCAAATATATATATATATATATATATATATATAGTGGCTAGGATTTCTTCCAAGTCTATAAACTTTTATTATTCACACTAATATTAGAATTTGGTAATTTTATCCAACTTCATCCATGAACTTGATTAAAATTTTACTAATATATTCATTATTTGAAGAATGATATGAGATAATGCAAAACAATATTACATCATCAAAAGAAATAAAATTATATGTTGAAGAATTAAATTAATATAAAAAAATTGAAGATCAAATTAAAAAAAATATTAAAATTGGATATTAATATCATATTTCATTGATTAATTGATATCTAAAATATATTATTTTTAAGTTGTTAGAACCAAAACTTAATTGATATAAGATCAAGAACTAAGGGAAGTAAAACTAAATTAATCAATAGGTTGAATATTTATATTTCTTTACTTGTGATATTTCAAGAAGATAGGCTGACTCTTGTTGTAAAAATTATTTGATGATATAAGAGTAATACAAGTTAACATATTTCTTGGGAACCATTATCTATTTATATATAATGAATATTAGGTCAATCTATT